TTACCTTATTTTTTGCAAGGGATTCTTGAAGTTTGGTTATGTTAGAACAAGAAATGTCCACTTTAGCTTATTTTTTGCAAGGGAAAACCGATCGTAACAACACAACCGGATCCGGACCAACCCGTTTTGCCTGAGACTTCCTCACGAAAATGATGAAAATGAGGCTGCGGCCTAGGCGCGGCGGGGGGGCGTGCACCAGGGGCCCCAACAATAATTATTCTTTAGAAGTAATAATGTTCAACAACAACAACAATCACTTAGACTGGGGACACTCCGTTCTCACCAGTGCCAGGGTTTTCATAGGAGGCGGGCAATGCCCCCACTTTGTGGGGGGGCCGGTTCAAGCTCTACCAAGTTTCCAAACGACTCTTCGCCACCACCCACACCCAGCTTCCCGCCCTATGACGTTCGGACACTTCACTTCGTGGCCTGCGGACGACCTTGGCTACTACACTGGCTACAACACTAGACAGCTTTCCGTCGCATACGCAACGCGGTATGCAACGCGTGGTACTTCAGCCCTGGATATACCGCGCGCATGTGGTCACCAAGTGCCGCGTCGAGCTTTTCAGCCGTGTCATACTGCAAAGGTCCAGAGTCAGGGTGATACTTCACGTACCGTTGCCTCAAAACCATACCGCTGACAGCGACGGGAGGATCGCTCTCCGAGAGAAGCTGCGAGAGGACCTCCGCGGCGGCCTCGTCGGCGAAGCTCTCCCGATACTGATTGAGTCGAAGACGCTGGCCTATACATTCCTCCACAGCTTGGGCAGTATTGAATGCTCCCTTGGCGCCCCACTCAGTGCTGAGCCACTTCTGGCATACCCTGGCGTCAGCAGATACAGATAAATGTCCCAGGAGCCACTGCTTCAAGACGGCCCCGTCAGTAGTCCCCTCGGGCATGTCTGTGCGAATACGTTCTCCATACCAGGTCTCCAAATGGCCAGCGTTCTGCACTATGACAAGCGTCTCTTTGGAAGAATACTGCAGTAGCCACGCCGTTGCGACCGGATTTGACACATACAGTGGTGGATCCAACCGTCGGAGCGCCCCACATAATTTGAAAGCTGTATTATACTCGATGCCCAGATGGCGGATGGCAGAGCCGTGCTGCTCCTCCAGCTCCTTGGCGCTAGAAATACTGACCTTGCCAGGCACAACCCGATACTTGACCCACCAAACCTTGCACGCCTGGTGACTGACCTGGATACCCTTTGCAACGAGCGCCTGATGCAAATAAAACGGGCTGCCGCAGTCGGCCAAGGGAGGCCGCGACAGCTCTGGGCCATACTGCTCGTCAAGGGCTTTCGCCGACAAAGCCATGACCCATCCAAGAACACAGGCGATACCTTGATCCGAGATGGCTACGGATGTGACAGTGATCAGTATTTTGTTCGATGACGTGGTGACACACTGACTTGTTGTGGTACCATGCCGACAACGACGACGCGACGACGCGCGCATGTGTCCCGCATGATATTTTTTGCAAGGGATTGTGGCCCCTGGCAGGCGCGCGAACGCCGTTGAAAGAGCTTGCGAAAACAGCTCGCGCGAGCTCTATAACATAAATGTTGAAAAACCATTGGTTTTTAAGGATTCGGACAGCGCGCGCGGGTAGAAATTTTGAAAATTCGTACAGATGTTTTTCGAGAACCTACGGTGCGATTCGTATGATTTTATGTTGCGCGGTGCTAAAATTCCTAAGAAACCCAATGATTTTTGAAGATTTCGGCGTGCGCGCGCGAAGAAAAAACGAATGTGTCCCACATGGTATTATTTGACAGGGATGATGGCCCTGGCAGGCGCGCAACCTTTGTTGCAGAAGTTCGAAGCACGTGAAAAAGTTGCTCGCAAGAGCCCGTTTGACAGAAATGTTGAAAAAGTATTGGGTTTCCTAAGAAATCCGCAAGAGCGCGCGGGGTGAATGTGTGAAACCTTTTTTTTGAAAAACCACTGGGTTTTTCATGTTTTTATGTGAAAATCGCTACGAAGACTAAGGTTTTGGAAGGATTTCGTCTTGCGCGCGCGAATGTCCACTTCGTGTCATTTTTTTACAAGGGATTCTTGAAGTTTGGTCATGTTAGAACAAGACATGTCTACTTTGCCTTATTTTTTGCAAGGGAAAACCGATCGTAACAACACAACCGGATCTGGTATACCCCGTTTTGCCTGATACTTCCTCACGAAAGTGATGAAAATGTGGCTGCGGCCTAGGCGCGGCGGGGGGGGCGCGCACCAGGGGTCCCAACAATAATTATTCTTTAGAATTAATAATTTCCAACAACAACAACAACCATTTTAAGGCTGTGCGCTCTTACTTGCCCGCGAGTCATTCAACACGTATACCCTACACCCTCGATGCCCGCCCTCTTCGTCTTCGATCACACCCCTTTCGGGGGGATTATTTCTCTTAGCTGGGGCAAGCGGGCTTAGACGTACGGGCAAACCGGAACGGGCGGACAATCCTTCGGGGGCGTACATCTCTCTGCCCGCCATTGGAATTGGCGCGGGCCCTGCAAGAGGAGGAAGGGAAAAACGAGGGAGAGTGGGAGGAAGGGGAGGGGGAAGGACGAAGGATGAGGGAAGATACCACGTTGTGAAGGCGTCCTTGGCGCGTGCGTGGTTCCTGAGCGCCGAAACGCAATTCCATAATAATTTGTGAGGACGTCGCACGCGAGAGCGCAGTCCTGAGTACATTGTGAGGAAATCTCAAGCGGAAGCGGGGGCCCTGACTAAGTTGCGAGGAAGTCTCAAGCGGGAGCGCCGTTCCTGAGCAAATTGCACGGAAGTCTCAGGCGGGAGCGGGGGTCCTCACTAAATTGCGAGGAAGTCTCAGGCGGGAGCGCCGTTCCTGAGTCAATTGCGCGGAAATGTCAGGCAGGAGCGGGGGTCCTGAGTAAAATTCGAAGAAGTCTCAGGCGGGAGCGCCGTTCCCACGTAAATTGCACGGAAGTCTCAGGCGGGAGCGGGGGTCTTGATTACATTGCGAGGAAGTCTCAGACGGGAGCGCCTTTCCTGAGTAAATTGCGCGGAAGTCTCAGGCGGGAGCGGGGGTCCTGAGTAAAAATCGAGGAAGTCTCAGGCGGGAGCCGTTGTTGTTGTAGCCCGGGGGGCAGGGGCACAGTTTGAGCAGGAAGACTTTCCTTAAGAAAAAACAAGGTGCGAGCCCTGGGGGTGGCACTTCAATCGAAAAAAATCAATGTGCACCGGTGGGGGGGGGGATCAACAATAATTATTCTTCAAGAATGAGAGTTCAACAACAACAACAACAAGAACAACAACAACAACAACAACAACAACAACACCAACATCAACATCAACAACAACAACAGCAGCACTACCAACAACAATATGAACAACAATACAAACAACAATCATGTTAAGACTGGTCGCGTGCTCGCGTACCATTCAACACTTATATCCCAAATCCTCGATCTCCGCCCTCTTCTTATATCGTAACCTCTTGGGGTCTATTTGTCTTACCTGCAACGTGTATTTCATGCAGCCCCTACGGCAGGGGAAGAGAGGATGGATGGAAGAAAGGGACAAGCGGGAGGGAGGAGGATGGAGCCCGAGAGAGAGATAGAGAGAGAGTAGCAGGAGGGGAGGTAGGAGCACAAAGCACGTGGCATAACTAGACGGGCAGATCGGGCTGGTAGACGCTAACGGGCGGGTCGGGAAGGCGGGCACAGGCGGCCAGGTCGAGCAGGCGGGTTGCTCAAGCGTGCGTCCTGCATGAATCGCGAGGAAGTCTCGATCGATAACGCGATTCCCAAATTCATCGTGAGAAATCCACAGCGGGAGCGTGATTCCTGAGTGTCCATGGCGCGGCGTCTGGCTAAATTGCGAAGGGATCCCACGCGAGAGCTCGGTTTCTGTATACATTGCAAGGAAGTCCCGCGCAAGAGTACGATTTGGGAATTACTTGTGAAGAGATCTTAATCGGGATCCGTTGTTGTTGTAACTCGGGTGCCAGGGGCGCAGCTTGCCTGATAAAAAGCAGGGTGCGAACCCCAGGAGGAGCACTTCAATTGAATAACACATATGTGTTACCAGAGGGGGGGATCGACCATAATTATCCTTCAGAAATGAAAGTTCAACAACAACCCACGCAACAACACCATAATTAATAACAACGGCAGCTACCAGGGCCCGGTCTACCCAAGTAGTAGTAATAGTAGTAGTAGTAGTAGTAGTAGTAGTAGTAGTAGTAGTAGTAGTAGTAGTAGTAGTAGTAGTCGTAGTCGTAGTCGTAGTCGTAGTCGTAGTCGTAGTCGTAGTCGTAGTCGTAGTCGTAGTCGTAGTAGTAGTAGTAGTAGTAGTAGTAGTAGTAGTAGTAGTAGTAGTAGTAGGAGTAGTAGTAGTGGTAGTGGTAGTGATAATAATAGTAGTACTAGTAGTAGTGATAGTAGTAGTAGTAGTAGTAGTAGTAGTAGTAGTAGTAGTAGTAGTAGTAGTGATAGTAGTAGGAGTAGTAGTAGCAGTAGTAGTAGTAGTAGTAGTAGTAGGTAGTAGTATTAGTACTAGTAGTACTAGAACTAGTATTAGTAGTCGTAGAAGAAGTACTTGTAGTAGTAGTAGTAGTAGTAATAGTAGTAGCGGTAGTAGAAGTAATATTAGTGATCACATCAATCAGAGTAGTAGTAGTAGTAGTAGTAGGAGGAGTAGTAGTAGTAGTAGTAGTAGTAGTGGTAGTAGTAGTAATAGTAGGAGTAGTAGTAGTAGTAGTAGTAGTAGTAGTAGTAGTAGTCGTAGTAGTAGTAGTAGTCGTAGTAGTAGTAGTAGTAGTAGTAGTAGTAGTAGTAGTGGTGGTAGTAGTAGTAGTACTAGTAGTAGTAGTAGTAGTAGTACTAGTAGTAGCAATAGTAGTCGTAGTAATAGTAGTCGCAGTAGTAGTACTGCAGTAGTAGTCGTAGTAACAGTAATAGAGAAAGAACGCGCCACAGTATATTACACCACACATGGCGCAAAGCAGCATGCCGCTGATGTCATTTCATCAAACCTGCTGGTGTACCTTGTTTCCATGTAAACGTGCAAGCTAAACGCGCGGTGTCGGCAAATATCGCACGGACAACTATCAAAAAAACACCTGCCACTATTCCGCACTTGCAGCGTTGAGGGTGGGTCATAGGAGTAGCCGGCGCCGACCTTGATGATCCCGTCTTCTCTTCTGTGTGCCCTCCTGTCGCAACGGCTCTCGCCGCCGGGAGACATCGGAGACGAAACGTTACTGCGAGACGCACATCTCGTCCGACTGGGGCTCGATGGCACAGTACCGAGGACGTCCCTGCGGAGGTCGTTCTTGTGCTGCAGGCCGATGATACTCCTGGGGCAGTAGTGCGCGACCCACGCGTCTGCCTTGTTGAGCACAGCCCTCGACCGTCGGAGCTGCAGCACGACCTCCGTCGCGTACCGCGCGAGACGAGGCTTCTGCATCGGCAGCCCCTCCGCCGTCGCGGACGCGCGAGCCTGAGGGCGCCGGCGAGTCCCGCTCGCGCGCGACATGCGTGGACCTCCCCCCCCCCCACGAGTTCGAGTTCCCACTGTCCGTAAGAGGAAGATGGGGAGAGGAAGGGGAAGATGAAGGAGAAGGAGAGAGAGATGAGGATTAGAATGGGACAATCGGACCTAAGCCAGAAGTGCGAACATCCCTCAAGAACACGAGACCCTCGCCAGCCAAAACGCACAGAACATCTAAGGGTACCCTCGCAAGGGTGCACAATAATATCCGACAAACACGAAGAACACAGGGCACCCTCCCCGAATCGACCTCGATCTTATACCTCGATCCGGCTGTATCAGGGATGAGTTTGCACGGTGTTTTGGCATCGATGCTGTGAAGGGTTCATACTAGCGCACAGGTCCAACGATCGCATGAGTGGGTCCTCGCTGCAACATCGGCATGACCATGTCGTCGCCCCCCTTGGTGTTAAACTGTGAATTCTGCTGGTCTCATCCCGATGGCCCCCGAGAAGGTAAATCGACGGATACGTCGGCATGTGTCGGCGTCAAGGTATGGGCATCATCGGATCGATCGAAGCCATCCACATCACTGCCCTAACCGCGTCAAGCATGGAAAACGTCCGAACGATGTTAATAAACTTATTGTCCCCAATCCTGCGAGTGTGCTGAGCACGCGCCGCTCTTTCACAATACGACCTGAAACAGCTTCCGCTCGCGGCACAGGCTGCGACTTCAAACTGCCAAATCGGCAAACTCACAAGGGCAAACTGGAGAACGACAGTACCATCGAGCTAGACATTGACTGGCGCATATCCGCGGGCGTATCTCAACGTCAACGCGACTACGGTGGATATCACATATCGTCATCATGTTTTCATGTGTGTGATAGACGCAATCGAGTTGAGCTGGAACTACTCACCCAAATGGTACATGTGACGAGTGCTGCCCCCGAAGACCCCTGATTGGGTCCTCGTTTTGAATTCAGCACTGCTGCCCCCGCCTCCTTCCCGCCCTATCCCCTCCTCTTCGCTGCCGCTTCCGTTCTCCTACCCTCTACCTCTTGTGAGCGTTAATCTGGGCGAAACGGGGGGGGGTCTGTCTCGGGACCTGTGCTTGATGCGATGGTTTGCAACTCTGCGCCCTGTGGGGGAGACTCCTCCTGCTCGAAACAGGCGCCCCAAACAGCCCAAATCTACTCCATGGGGGGGAGAGGGGGGGCAGGAGCGAACTGCCTGGCCAAAGGGCCGGTTGACTCGTCCATCTGCGTCTCTGCAGAGTGTCACTGTTCGCGATTAGCAGTCGCACTCTTGGTGGAATGACGATTGCCTGCGTGCTATTGCCAAGAAGTGCGATGCAGCTGGCTCTGCAGACTATCCATTTGCTGGGGGGGGGGGGGGACGAGGGCCCGCGCCGATCGGCAAAGCAACGAATGAAAAAACGATCACCTTCCCTGCCCCCTGCCTCGCCTCCCTGGGTGCTGCGGGCTCCGCCACTGTCGCCAATGTTGTGTGCTGCTAGGGGGTCCAGCGGACTGCGGTGCTGCCCAGATCCAGATCAGACCTTGGCCCCCTGCTAGCTGCGAGCTGCAAATCAAGCCTGCTGCGGAATCGTCGCAAGCTTCGTGAGCGCATGGAAAGCCCAGCGGGGTGCGGCGCCACGCAGATCCATATTAGACCTCGGTGCCATGGGTGCTACCAGATGCGACAGTGGCACAACTTTCGCGAGTTCCCAGGAGGGGTCCACCAGAGGGTGGTACCATGCAGATCAAGGTTAGACCTCGGCCCGCTGGGAGCTGCCATCTGCGCAAGTGTGTCGCCACTTGCATGAGTTCATGGGAGGTCCACCGGATCGCCGTGGCACAGCGATGCGCAAATAAAAGACGGGCATCGGCGCCCTGGGCGGGCACCAGCGACGCGGACGGGGCTCTTGCTGCCGCTGGGCGTCATGCTATCTAGGGCGACGATGTCAGACTAAACATTATCGTGACCCGCCACGCTGGCCTGGATTTTCTCTCCCGAGGGCCGCGCGCGGAACTGGCGATTCGCCTGCGAACTTCCAGCTCCCGCCCCGAAAGGTGAAGGGCGGAGGCCGGGACGCTGGCGCACCACCTCGGCCTGGCGAATTTCTTGCGCGACCGGGCGAGGGAACCGCCAGCTCGTTTGACGGCGCTCTGAGATGTACCTCTGTGAGTCTCACGCCCAGGAAAGGGCACATGCAATCTGCAAGTGCCCGCAATGAGCGGTGCAGGATTGCGCCCAAGATAATGGCTACAAACGCAAGCCAAGACTCGCACCTCCGTGGGTGATACTGCAAAAGCTCCTTGTTCGTCACCGATCGCATGCCACTCTTCCTCTCCACGCCGTCCACTGCCCCATCCACGACGTTCCCTGTCTCTTCTATATCGTCCTTGCATATACTGTCCTCCTCTCCTCGTCCTCGCCCTCTATAAATGCCCTGTCTCCTCCTCTCCCGCCCCTCACATTCGTCGCCCTTCCGTCTCCCTTTTCATGTTCGTTTCTTCGCTGACGCTTCGTAGAGGACCCACGGGGCGCGCATCGAACAATTTCTCCATGAAGCGCTCGTTTGTCATGTATGGGCTGGTTTATGTTTCCACACCCTGCAAATGAGTCGGGAACGTCGCTGGGTAATTCCCCCACCCACCGACCCCACGAAACGTCAATGGTTGCAAATGTTTGCGCATGCCGTGGTAGGCACGCCGTGGCGAAGCCTGCCGTCTGGGTGGAGGAAGACGAAAGGAACTCCCCTCTGGACCCTGCCCAAAATCGGAGCGGACCTTGCCAACTTGCTGTCACGAATCTGCGACGGCAGCCCATGCCCATCTGCAGAGCAAAGCCAGAGCAAGAGAACCAGACTGCATCGAGAGACGGAGATGGAGGCGCGCATTCTGGGGGGTAAAGGCTTCGAGCCCCGCGTCCCGGGAGAAGCTGGGTAACGATGTAGGAAATTCCGTTCGGGTGCCCAGCGAACCGCGTGAGGCGTCTGCAGGCCTGCAGATGGCAGCCGAATAGGTTCCGTCCACGTCGTACTGACCCTCACTGGCCAGGCCCGCCCATGTATTTGCCTCCAGAAGGCCTCGATGTCCTCTGGAGAAGCGAAGAGGGCTGCTGAAGCACACATCTGAGGAGATGCCTTCCAGGGCAGACTCGGCGGTAGCATGGGGTGGGTGGACACATTGATCATAATCCTAATGTGTTTTGCTCGCGAGAACGATGGTGAATCTGGAGAGCCACTTATCGGATCCCCCTGTGCTACCGCTAGCACAAAAAGACTAAACAACTCTGGGGGTGGAACCACGGAACAATACCATCAGCACAGGCAAACACATATCAATTCCCAACGGAAGGGGGGGAGGGGGAGCAGCGAATTCTCAGGAACCATCGGGGATCTTTAAGGGGCCCTGCAGGACTCCCCAGGAATCCTTGAGGAATCCTCCACAAATCGTTTGGGATTCCTCCAAAAACTTCAGGAACCATCGGGACTCTGAAGGGGCCCAGAAGAACCATGAGGAATCCGCGCGGAAATGTCAGGAAACCTGCAGAAATCCGCCAGGAGTCGGCAACAAACCTGGAGGAATCCTCAAGAATCCTTTGGGGACGCCACGGGAATCTGGACGAATCCTGTGGAATCCTTTGACATCAGACGAATCTCTGAAAAATCAAATGAAAACTCTAGAATCGTTCGGGAATCCGCAGGGATCCTTCGGCAACCAGCAGGAACGCGCAGGAATCCCCAGGAAGCCTTTGGAATCCGACCTTAAGACACATCAATGATTAATTAATGATTTGGGGGGGGAGCAGCAAGTTCGCAAAATGATTCTGGATATTTCTCAGAAGCCCGCAGGACTCTTCATGAATCTTTCCGGATATTGCTTTGCTGTATGACTCTTTGGAAATCCGCCAAGACTCCGCCAGGAGCCATCAGGAATCCTCCAGGAATCATGCAGGAGATGTTTCGGGAAGTCGATTGGCAGGGATCCTAGGAACCCCTACAGGGATCTTTCGAAATCCGTCAATAATCTTCTGGAGCCAGCAGCAGGAATCTTCAGGAGCCTTCAACAATGCCCAGGATCCCCCACGAATCCCCCAAGAACCCGCAAACATGTTCTGCGGAACTTCGGGAACCCATCCCAAAGCCGGAAAGGATCCTCAGGACTCCTTGGAGGGTGCCCTCATGAATCCTTGGGAACCCACAGGAACCAGAAGTATATCTCAGGATTCCTTCAAAAATCCGGCAAGACTCTCCAGGGAAGAGATCGGGAATCCACAGGAACCCTCCCGGGATCACTCTGGAATCCTCAGCGCGACGCCGCGCATGTCACGTTCCCTCCTCGCCATCTCTTTTTGGTTTCCTCACTGGACTAACTAACGATATGCCCCGTCACTAGACGACCGCACTCCCCAGTGAATTGTGGAAGAGAAGGAGACGGGGCGAAGAGAAGGAGCAAAGAGAAGACAAGGAAGAGGAGCAGGAAAAGGGGGAGGGGGATGAGGATGAGGTGGATGGTGCTGTTGCGCTGTGAGCAAGAGCGTAGCGCACCCAATGTCACCCTTCAGCGCCTTGTTCGCCACTCGCAAGCACTTGCGTCTTACATCCAAGCCCTGCCTTAGCACGGCACTCAGAGCAACGCGCACAAAATCGAGAATACGATGGCTGTTCCGCTCCCCTTGCGGCCACGAGAAACCTTGTGAACTCCTGCGGGGTCACAGATGGTTTCCAGGCGGCTCCCAGATGGTTTCTGAAAGCTCCTGGCGTTTCTTGAATGACTCCTGAAAGAGGAATCCTGCAAATGTTGGAAGAAATCCTGCGAATTCCGCGAAGATTGCTAGAAAGCCCTGCCGGGTTCCGGAATGATTCCTGCGGATGTCTCAGGGCCCCTTGGGATTCCAAGGAGTTTCATGAGCATCCTAAAGGCGCCCTAAACGTCAGACCGACTTGGGTTCAAGCCGATCTAGCTTAGCTAGGCTGTTCAGGGCTACCTTGGGCTAGGCCGTCTTGGACTCTCTTGGGCCGTCTGGGGTTGGGCACATGGGGCTCTCATTGTTTGCCTTGCCGCATGCAGTCAGGTAGCGAGGGGGCGCGCTGCCTTTGGTACGAGCTACGAAGCAACCAGGGCGCATTCATGGCCACAGGTGTCCCCCCCCATCATCCTCCCTTTGTAATTCGGGATCCTATAGGTTTCTGCATAGTCCTGACAGCTCTCGAAATTTCCCAGGGGGTTCCTAAAGGGTTATTGGAGGATATCTGGATCTTCTGGAAGGGCTCGTGCCGACTCCTGAACAATTCCTGACGGTCCCTGCCTGAGTTCATTCCGGATTTTGAAGGATTCCGAACGGTTCCTTAGGGCTCCTGGGGTTTCGTTTGGATTACACGAGTGTCCTCGAGATCCCAGCGGATTCTTAAAGCCTCCCACCAAAAGCTTGATGAGGCTGGCTTGTTCTGGCCTTCCTGGGAAGCCTCTGTCCCACAGCCTGCACAAACCATCACGGTTCTCCATGCGTCACCACTCATGTTGTTGATCTGCTTGTCTCGGCGGCCCTGAAGAACCCCACAATCCTAGGAAGATCCTCCCCCCCCTACCGACAGCGATATTTAGCACCCACCCGCATGCAGAACTTCCTCGGGGCTGAGTGAGGAGGGGAGTGAGGCGGCGGGGGGGAGTGAGGCAGTAGGGGTTCTTCAACAAATGAAGCGTCCTGAAGATTCGGCGAGTCCTGAAGATTCGGCCTCTTCTCTTGAGCGCAATGTTGAAGCGATCGCTGGGGCAACTGATTGCGTGAACGCTAATTATTCACTAATCTGGACGGACCAAGTCCCAAATGGCCGCAAGCACCCGGACGCGCGGAATGAGACGTTGCACTTGCACTGTGACACCAATATGATATTGCATATTGTGATGTTTCTCTCATTTTCCCCCACGGAAGCGATTACATCAGCATGGTGGTATCTCACGTGCGGGCCATTCGCATCAAGAACAGACTGAGAAGAGATCGCGATGAAGATCCGCAACCCCAATTGAAGGGGGTGAAGGCCGATGCTGCACATGTGTTGCAATGTAGTTCTTATGTTGCGCGCGTGCGCAATGGTACATTCACTAGCAACTGCCCAATTAACTTGGAACGATGAATGGTGAAAGCCAATTGTTGCACTCGTGTTCTGATGAGCCCGTCACGAAATTATGTACTGCGACGCCAAACATCATTCTTATTGCGCGCGCTCTCGCGTGAGCAATACGAAAAGCCACAGGGAATGCCCAACTCAATTTGAATTTGGATGGTGGAATACATCTGCTTCTCTTGTACCCTGCAACCCCAACATGGAATAATGCACTGTAGCGCAGCACACGTTCTATGTTGCTGGCGCGCGCAAAGCACAAACCAATACAGAATGCCCAGCTCCATTACGAAAACTGAAAGGTGGATACCAAATATACCACCCGTAGTTTGAGGGCACCAACATGGAATGATGCATTGTATCACAGCGTGTTCTTCTTATTGCTCGCACGTGCGCGCAGAGTGCGAACATCAAGAGGAACTGGCCGTCTTACCTTCAAGATGGGCGGTGAAAACCAATGTGTTCGCCTGTGTCCTGAGGACATCAACGTGTAATAACGCATTGTGACACCGTGCGATTTCTTGATTGCTCGCGCGTGCGCGCGGGTGCGCCGCGAGCGTAGGATGCAAACATCAATGGGGAAATGCAATCTTAGCTTCGAAAGCAAAGGGGTGAAACGAATTGGTTCGCTTGTAATCCGAGGGCCCCGACGTGAAATAATTCATTGTGACAAGATGCACTTTCCTTATTGGTGGTGCGCGCGCTGACGTGCGAGCCTCCACCAATGCATGTGGCGCGCGAGCGCACCCTCGCGTGCGAAATACAAGAGCCAATGAAGAATGCCCACCTCATTCGAGAACTGAATGGTGAAACCTTATTTGCTTCATTCGCATCCTGAGCGCCCCAACGTGAAATAATGCATTGTGACACCATGTGCTCCCCTTGTTGCTCATGCGCGCGCGTGCGCGCGCTCTCCCGCGCGCGCAATACAAACATCGAACACTGAATGGTGAAAACCAAGTGCAGCACTCGTAGTCGGAGGGCCTCATACGCGTTCCTGGTTGCCCGCAAGCGCGTGCGCGCGCCCTCGTGTGCGCAATGCAAAGTCGATAAAACAAACTAGCTTCAACTCGGAAACCAAATGGTGGCAACCATTTGTTTCACTCGCACCGTGAACGCCCTAACGTGGAAGAATGCATTGTGATGCAATGCCATTCCGGCAAACCCCTCACATGCTTCATGGCCCCAAATAAAAAACTCTACCGAAGGCCCCAGTGGCGAAGTCCACATGCGCCCCCCGTCCCCATTCCGGCAGACCCCACACACGATCAGTGCCCCCATAGGAATCCCTGCCGAACGCCCCAGTGACACGGTCCACGTGCGCCCCCCCCGCGCCCCATGCCGGCACGCCCCTCACGCGTGCCGTGCCCCATACGGAGCTCTACCGAAGGCCCTCGTGGCACATTCCACATGCGCCCCCCTGCCCCATTGCGGCGCGCCCCTCACACGATTCTTGCCCCATATGCAGGGGGCTGCACCTGCAATACTTCGGCACACCCCTTTCACATTCGTGGCCACATGGTGAGCTCCACCGAAGGCCTCAGTGGCACATGCGCCCTCCCGCTCCATCTCCGCACACCCCTCACACATCTCGTGGTCCCATCACCCGATGACGAAGATAATAAAGTACCCCCCCTTAAGTAGTTTGAGTTTATTATCGTCGGCCTAGAAGGGTTTCAAATGTAGGCGGAGAGCGCGGAGGCCGAACTTTGTCATCACTGGGAAAGTTCGCCATCGAGCGCACTCTCTATCTCTTCTCTCTCTCTCTCTATCTATCTCTTTCTCTGTTTCTCTTTCTCTTTGTTTCTCTCTCTCTCTCTTCCTCTCTTTCTCTCTCTCTCTCTCTCTCTTTCTCCTCCTCCCCCTGGCCCCCTGAACTTTATTATCGCTGGGGTTGATTATCCTGGGAAAACGAGGCACATGAGCTACCCTACACAAGCAGATGAAAATTTCAATTTCCATTAAGCGTTTACAAATTAAATATACTAAGTTTTGAACTGTGGATTGTTCCTTCGCCCTCCTCCTCCTATTCCTCTCCTCTCTCTCCCTCTGTCTCTCTCTCTCTCTCTCTCTCCACCTCTCTCTTTCTCTCTCTCTCTATATCTCTCTCTCTCTCTCTTTCTGTCCCTCTCAACCTCTCTCTATCTCTCTCTGTTCCTCTTTCTCTTTTAATTTCTCTCTCCATATATTTCTCCTTCTCCCCGTGACCCCCTGAACTTTATTATCGCTGCGGTTTATTATCGACAGCAAGGTTATGAACCTCTAACTGCGAGCAGTCTCAGCAGTTCCGAGCTTGTGCGCGAGACCCTAGCAACAAACAGTACGATTCCGAGGATGTCCCAAGCGAAATAAGCAATTGTTCGAGGATGCCTCAAGCGAGACGAGGAGGTTTATCTACGATCTCTCAAGCGCAGCAAACAATTATTTCGAGGATGTCTCAAGCGAAACGTCAGATTTGTCGAGGGAGTCTCAAGCGAAACAAACCATTGTTGAGGATGTTTCAGAGAGGACCAAAGCTAAGGATGTCTCAAGATATCCTCGGCTTTGGCTCCTCTGTTAGCATCTTTATGCTGGCCTGTGGTGGGCAACTTTTATTATCACTCCGTGACCGCCGAACTTTATTGTCCCTGGGGCTTATTCTCTATAGTAGAGGGTTAGGCACGCGCCTTCACCGAGGACGCTGCAGCGACGCCCCTCCGCGCCGGGGGCGCGGCCCCTCTCGCCCTGCGCGAGGGCTGCCAGGAAGGAGGTCCTGCTGCACGGTCGAGGTCAGCCTCTCGGCCGCGGCGATGTCGGTGGCGACCCGGAACGTGGACGTGTCCTTCCACGCGTGCTCCTGCAGGAGGGGGGCAATGATTTCTGTTGTGCTTGAGGAAGATAGCCCCTGCTCAATGTACCCCTGGCTCTGCACGATCATGCTAGAGCCGGCGCTCTGGATGATCCTCGTTTGCATTGACCCCCGTCTCTTGAGCCCCAAAGCTCATGCAATGGCCCGGGGCCAGCAGGACACGGGTCCTGGGTGGTCCAGGACACTCCTCCGCGGGGGCGGAGGAGGAGGAGGAGGAGGAGGAGGAGGAGGAGGAGGAGGAGGAGGAGAGGGAGGAGGAGGAGGAGGAAGAGGAGGAGGACGAGGAGGAGGAGGAGGAGGAGGAGGGGGAAAACTGAAGTCTGGGCGTCACATTTTGTGGTCCACGCCGGGCGGTCTCGCCCGGCTCCAGGCCTCGGGCGTCGAGGGCTCCGGCTGGGATGCTCCACACGCTGCGGGAGTCTTGCGGCGCGGCGGCGGATGCCTCGGGGAGTGGCAGGACGAGAGGGTGGACGAGAGTAGGGGAACAAAAAGTGACATAAACATAAAAGCTCGGAGGTCCGCGCGGATTTCTCGCATCGGCGCTGGACCCCCCTCCCTGGCGCGCGGAGCGCGCCAGGGGCGGCGCCGGAGGCGCCGCCGGGGGGCCCCAGTGCCGATCCGAGAAATCCGCGCGGACCTCCGAGTTGTTATGTTTATGCCACTTTTTGTTCCCCTGGAGAGGGAGTCCGCGGATAAGGAGGTGCGGGTCGGCTCGGCGGTCCACGAAGGAAGGGTCAGGCCCTGGCTGCCGCGTGAGCGCCGAGGCCATGCGGGCCCGACGGTCGAATCCGCACCTGCAGCGGGCTCATCCCTCGCCGCAGGCGGGCGAAGCCGATGGGAAGGATGGGCGAGGAGGAGGACGAGGGAGGAGCAGCAGAACGACCACGAGGCGGACGCCGCAGGGGGAGAGCAAGCAGGGTCTGCGGGAAAGAGAGCGCCGAGAGCAGCAGAGCGTTGAGAGTCGTGGAGAGATGCGTAAGCCTGCGATTGGGGGGCGTGGAGAAGAGCAGGGTAGGGCGAAAGAGCGGCACGGCAACGATACGGCGAAACTGTCGGGTCATTAGCTTGGGGGCGCACCCGCTGGGAGGGGAGTCGTGGTCCATGGATCCGCGTGCTCCTTTTCGATGGGGGGGTCTTCAGTGGGCCGATTTCGATCATCGCGATCGCAAACTTTGGATAAACTGGGTTCGTCATGCCGACATACCCTGGACTCTGACCGATGGTCCATCGCTACACCGTCAACTACTGTAGTTGGGGGTGGCTCAACTCAAGGCTCGGCGAGTGCATCGGCTCAGCCATATTGAATTCGAACATGCGAACGAGCCCCTCAGCACCAATGCCCGAGCCGTATGCTGGGGTCTCAACTGGGGCCGAGCGTCTCCCATGCGCGAGGTCCGAAATCTCGAGGTGCTGCTTGGCTCCTGTATGGAAACTGTCCACCTTCAAGCTAGAAATCAGCGAAGACTAATCTGGAACATTTTTTCGGAAAACTGAAGCTCTACCACATGTGCCAGTTGGAGGGGGCACACGGAAAAATGTCTGACATCGTTCTGCTTGAGGAATCTGGGAAACCATAGTCTACTGTTTGGAATGTGGTGTTCTTTATCAGCAGCCCTGCACGGAGCCTCCATATTTACACCCTCGCGAGGCGCAAGTAGGCAACGCACTAGGACGGTAGCCTGGTGTTCCAGATCAAGCTCGGCGCTTCGGCACAACGGCGGCGGGCCCAAACACATGAAAAGCCTCCCTCATACCCTAGCCTCTAGCCTTCCGTGACCTGTCGGCATGTCTCTGACTGCGCTTAGGGGGACCAAGCTTGAGCGCTTCATTCCGTCCCCAGAGCAAGCACTGGGTTTGCGAGTAGGTATGACCGTGCTCTTGCCGATGACGCATGAAAGATGGAGGACGAGGATGACGCATGAAAGATGGAGGACGAGGGAAGGAAGGGAGCAGGAGTGAGGAGGAGAGGGAATATCACAAACGAGAAAGGTCGATCGCTACATCGTAACTATGGAGTTGTAGAGTTGACCCTAGATGCTCCTCGCCTAGTCTGCCGCCGAGGCTGTCTGCACAGTGGATGCCGGGCCTCTCTCGTGCCACGTCAAAAACTCGACATACGCAATGCAATTCTTCACGGGTGCGTGCGAGCTCCCACAGCCTGGGATGACTTCCCCATCGGGTCCCGTGCGCGCTCCTTCAGACCCTCATGCCATGCTAGTCTCCCCTGGTGGCACGTCGGCCATCGGTCGGACCATGAGGTGTCGCTTGGCAACTCTGCGCTGTTTCGCGGCCCACGGCGGGGGCACATAGCTGGGAAACGCTCATGAGCAGGAGCACATCGTTCCAAATCCTCCTCCTCCTCCTCCTCTTCCTCCTCCTCCAACCCATTCTCTTATAGAGAACTCCTCCTGTCGCACCGCCGAACGTGTCCGTAGGGCGGGCTTGGCGTTTCGCCTTGGACTTCCTCACCAATTATGACCCTGAAGCTTGCAATTTGCAACAGTTGAAAACGATGGAACCTGGGTGGTTTTCAATATGTGGCCCTCGCCTTAGCGCCACGCACATTCGTCTTGAACACTTGCAACAGCTTCAAGGATGGAGGGCGGTTCGTTTCAAACTGCGGCTCTCGCCCTAGCACCGCGCGCATTCGTCGCACAGACTAGCAACAGCTTCAAGGAAGGACGCCAAGTGGCTTTCAGAAATGTGGCTCTCGCCTCAGCGCCGCGCACGTTCGTCTGAAACACTTGCAGCAACTTCAAGGATGAAGGTTGGTTCGTTTTAAAAATGTGGCTCTCGCCTGAGCGCCGCGCACAGTAATACGACCCAAACCTCACAACCGTATGCGAAGAACTACATTCTGTGCACATCCATACGATCCAACCCTCACCAACCTACGCAACAAAACACAATTCGACTCACATCCATACGATGCAACCTCACCGTCGCAACTACAATTCGGCGGACATCAAAACGACGCAACCCTTACCATGCGATGCAAAGAACTGTCTGACACACATCCCTCCGACCCTATCTTAACCATCCGATGCAACATATATGTTCCGGTGTGCCTTCATGAGGTCCAACCCCCACCCTCCGATGTAAAAAACACGTTTCATGGTAAATCCATACGACCCAACCCTCATAATCCGATTCAACAGTTACAGCGTGGTGCACATCCATTCGACCCAACCCTCACCATCCAATGTAAAAACACATTCTGCGCGCACCTGCTGTCCTTCAACATCGACCCACCCCCTGGCCCTGAAGAGCCCCTGTCACGAAAGGCACGAACATCGATACATCGATCGCAAGTACATGAAAAGTCGATTCGTTTCGGATACCCCTCATCGACTCCGATGTTGGATCCAAGCTTTCCCCAGGCTGCCACAGGCACTCCCAGACGCTCAAAGACGCTCCCAGGCGCTCCCAGACGGTGCAAATCCCTCCCCAAGCGCTCCCAGGCTCGCTGCCACCACCAACAACAACAGCATCCACATCAGAATCGGCATTGTCCCCGTCGCCACAAGAGGCCTCGAGGAGCAGATGAATTCAGGTCGCGTCGGCGCGTGGACCACAAACGAGCTTCGCAATGGGGCTCCCGCTGTGCTGGCGCCGCACACCACCGCCTTACACAACCAAAGAACAGATAGAGGGCGGGTCGTTTTCAGAGGGGCGCTCGCCCAGGCGCCGCGCTGCGCGAGTGGACGGCGCGCCCTTTTTCCAAGACGGTGGGGACACTGTGCAAGAAACCCTAAAGGTAAAAGAATCCGGGGTCTGGAAGTCGGTGGAACTCCAATCGTGCATCGGCCATGGATCTCACCACCGCCCTCATCGGACCAGGAATCCTCTGGGCTCTGCAGCCTCCTGGCCACACTCTTTGACGACTGCTCCCACCGCACTGGGGTCCCCCCTTGGCCTCGCGCACATTCGAATACAGAACCCACACTCGACCCTTACTCTAAATCCCCTCGGCCTCTGCCACCCGGCGTTCCATACGGCGCAGCAGCTACCACTGACGGAGGGTGGCTGCTCTCTCGAGCCGGGGCTCTCGCGTGAGACTTCCGCGAATCATGCGCCCGCGACCTTGACATCCTGCAACGCTTAGACGAATGGAAGGCAGTCCTGGACCTGGACCTACTAGAAGGCGACCTCCTTGTCAGAATGTGGCTCCTACTTGTCAGAATGTGGCTCGTCCTGGACCTGGTCCTACTTGTCAGAATGTGGCTCCTACTTGTCAGAATGTGGCTCCTACTTGTCAGAATGGAAGGCAGTCCTGGACCTGGACCTACTTGTCAGAATGTGGCTCGTCCTGGACCTACTTGAAGGGCTCTCGCGCGAGGCTTCCGCGGAGCATACATACGTCCACGACTTCGTCATCCTGCAACACTTAGATGGATGGCATGTGCTTCTCAAAACGGGACTACACTGGGCGTCTTTCACGTGGAGGGGGGATCCTTCACAACAGGCGCCCTCGTTTGACTGGTGGACGGGCCAACCGCTCATCATTCAAGCGGGGCGCCCGCAGTGGAAAGGAAGACTTGTTTGGACTTATGAGGAGGGGACTTGGGACGGGACGGTGTATGGCAGCATCGGTTGGTCCTCCTCCTCCTCCTCCTCCGCCTCCTCCTCCTTCTCCTCCTCATCCCAACACCGACAAGGCCTAGTAGTCATTAAACATTTTTGTCGAATGCGTGCGAGCGCGGAAAACAAATTGCCGTAGCAGGCGGCAGATGACCTTGCGACCGCTACGCGGCTGCCGCACAGGGGACGACTTCCAATCTTGACCTACGGCCTACGACCGACAACATGCTCGCCAATGTGCCGAGGGCGATCAGAGGGCCACTGTGGAGTAGAAACGAGACGGTCTCGCGAGCTACCAAGCAAAAGCTGCGTCGAGGTTCGGACCCCATCTCGAGCGCATTGCTCACGCAACACCTCCTAGCACACTGAGGGTCCGGAGTCCGAAGCCGAATCCCCGCATCGCTCCGCCCGGCTCCTCCTGCTCGTCATCGGACAGGTCGTCCTCCTCGCCGAGCTCGAGGTCGATGTTGGCTATTGTGTCGGCGACGAAGTTGCGCACGCGCGTGTGATGCAGCTGGCAGGATTCGGCAAGGGCTCAGATACGGCTTTACAAGACATGATGCCCTGGACATGCGAATCCCACCAACCCTTGGGGCTTAGTTGGTCTAACGAATACTTCCTTTCCTCTTCCAAAGCCCTCTTACCTTCGGGGAGGGTTACCCTCCCCTTCTCCTCCCTGACGTTTCTTTTTTTGGGAGGGCAAGATGGCTCCAAGAGGGCGTCTGGTGCTCCAAGATGGCCTCCAAGATGGCCCAAGATAGCCGAAGATGGTCAAGATAGCTTCCAACATACCTCCAAGAAGCCCGACGAGGGCCACAATAACGATTCCAAGTGCTCCCGGAGCCCCCTCGAGACCCCCCCCAAGAGGCCAACACATTCAAAAACCAGAAAAAATCGTGATTGGTGCCTCTTCGCCTTTTAGCTTCCGATGCCCCCCCAAATGATGCCTCAACATGGCCCAAGAGAGCCCCAAGAGGGGCCCGAAAGGCGCCAAAACCAACACCAAGAGCGCCCAAGATCGGTCCCAGAACGCCCCAAGAGCGCCCCAAGAGGTAATTTCGGTCGCACCAAAGGGGAAGGCAAATCGAGGACCTCCCCACTTCTTCGACCGACACTTTGCAACATGGCCCCACAAGCCCCTGCAGGGCCCCCAAGAGGACTCCAAGAGAGCTCTCAGAGGAGCCCAAGAAACCTTGACAGAGCCCTGTGAGGACCCCAGGGCATTCCACAAGGGCCCCAAGAGGGCACCAGCAGGACCGCCCCAACAAGAACCCAAGATGGCTCAAAGAGTTCGTGCCGTCGTTGTCCCCTTCCTGCCTCTGATACTTCAAACCGACCTTCAAGATGGCTCAACACGTTCCTCCCCTCTTCTCCTTGCCCGCATCGTTTCACTATAAGTGTGTATGTTCCTCCGGTTGCCCATCACCTCTCATGGGCAAAATGTTGACTGGGTTGGTGGGGATATTTTTTGGCCTGCGGGCTCGCGAAGCAGGTCGAAAGCCGTCCGAACACTAGTCGGGCCCTGACTAGGCAGCAAAAAAAGAGAGGCAAGCGAAGCGAGCGCGCGGGCAGCCACTCAGAAGAAGAGCCAGCAACGAAACTCCCAACCCGGTGGCGTGGAGATCCCGGTGGCGACCAGCAAGTAAGCGCAGCCAAAATGGCACGGCGGTGCAACCATAAACACGCAGAGGTTAACCACTCGGTGTGAGCCGGCACAAAGCACAGTCAGAGACGAGCAAGACCGACAGGCACACCCGGACGACGTCCGTGCCGTATGCGACACAACTGCATCGTGACAGCGCAAGAGTGAAGAGGGGCAACCTCGTCACAGGTACGACTGCAAGCGGCAGTACCTCATGTGTACAGCAGTGGCACATGTCGAAAGCGAAGTCCTTGCAGGAGATAGCAGCCGACGGGCGCACAGAACCACACATGCCGAAGTCCTTGCACCGTAGAGGTCTGCAGCGTAGCGAGACCCAATTGAACCCTTGCGGTCACCAGTGGAGGCCGACACCAGCCAGGAGCAGGCCAGGGGCCACCTGATCGCCTATTCCCAGTGTGACCCTTGCATGGAATTCGTAGCGAGACCCCACTGGACCCTGTCGGTCACTAGTGGAAGCCGACACCAGCCAGGAGCAGGCCAGGGGCCACCTGACCGCCCATTCCCAGTGTGGCCATGGAATTCAGGCTGTCAAACAAAGGAGAGGAGGGGAAGTGCACGCCAGGCACGGTAGGCACCCCAGTGTGGCAAACCGCTGCAGCACTAGGGTGCAGGAGGGGAGGAAAGGAAACGCACGCCAGGCACACGGTGTGAGAGGAGAGGAAGAGAACCGTAGAACATTTACTCGCGCAGTTGTTGCTGACTATGCCAATCGTGGCTGTGCCATTTCCGACAACGCTGACTATGCCAACCATGACTGTGCAAACCCTGGCTGTGCCAACCCTGACAATGCCAACTAAGCTCCTCCCCAGCGGTGGGCCCCCCTTTCCACCTGCGACTCGCAACTATCCTCACACTCTCCCCAATGGAGGCGACTGACCGTCGCAGAGTCAGTTGGAATCCGATGCGGCTGGGTGTTCCCAGGGGTCGTGTCGCCAGTGGGTTGTGTTGGACGGTCGGCAAGGTCCTTTGTGTCTTCTCCATGATCATTTTCCTGCGGGTCGCGACCCGTTTCCCGCCCTTCCCGGTGTAGGTGACTAACCATCGCAAAATCCCATGGAATCCAGGGCGGCTGGTTATTCCCAGGGGTCGTGTTGCCAGTGGGTTGTGTTGGACGGTCAAACTACTCTCTGTCTTCTCCCTGCCCCTCACCCTGCGACTCGCGACTATCTTCACACTCTTCCTCTTTCCGGTGGAAGCGACTGACCGTCGAAGAGGCGAGGTCGGGTTGCCAGTGGGTTGTGTTGGACGGTCGGCAGGGTCCTCTGTGTCTTCTCCCTGCCCCTTTTTCCTGAGGCCCGCGACCCGTTTCGCACTCTTCCCGGTGTAGGTGAACGACCATCGCAGAGTCTGTTGGAATCCGAGGCGGCTGGGTGTTCCCAGGGGTCGTGTTGCCAGCGGGGTAAGCTGGACGGTCGGCAAAGTCTTCTCTGTCTCCTGCCTGCCCCTCACTTTGCGACTCGCGAGTATCATCACATTCTTCCTTGTGGCGGCGACCGACCGTCGCAGAGCCCTTTGGAATCCGAGGCAGTAGGGTGTGCCAAGAGGTCGCGTTGCCAGTGGGTTGCGTTGGACGGTCGGCAAGGTGCTTCCTGTCTTCCGCCTGCTCCTCCTCCTCCTCCTGCGATTCGCGACTATCTTCGCGCTCTTCCACGTGGATGCGACCCTTTTCGCAATCATCCCGGTGTAGGCGATGAACCGTCGCATCTCGAGTAATCATGGGCTAACCGCTGCAGCATTCGGACGCAAGAAGGGAGGGAGGGAAGCGCGCGCCAGTCACACGGAGCGAGAGGAGGGGGAAGAGCTTACCACAACCCTGTGTACACGGACGCGCACGCCAGGCGCTCTGATTATGGTAGGGCGCTGACGGCCCGCAGACGCCGCCGACGCGGGGGTGGAGGCAGACGGCCGCGCCTCCGACGTCAAGGGCCCGACCTCGCACGAGAACGCTCCCACCCTACAGCGAACGGCCAGCGTCGGCGCCCACGAGATCCCGACCATCTCGCAAGGGTGCCTGGCGCCCCCTTTTCGCGCCGACGTGGTGCCCCAGGCGTTGTCCACGCAGTTGCGCCCAGTCGATACCCAGGCCCAATGAGTCACTCATGGCCCGAGCATCGCAGCTGCGGCTGTGAAGTGAGGTCAGGAAGGCGACGCAGGTTCGCTGATCGCGCCGACGCGGGTCGAAAGCGCGCGCGGTGAAAGGGGCAGCGTGATGCTCGGCAAAGGCGTGCCAGACGGCTGCGAACGACGCACCCAGGGTGACCTGAAGGTACCTGATCGTCTCGTTTGGTGACACTCCGCGGGGTTCCCCTTCGGAGTCGTGGACCCGGGCTTTATAGAGCGGCCTTCCAGTGTGGGAAACCCGTGGTCTTGGATGCTGGCGATCGGCGAACAGCCTGGGCATCCACCCACTTCCCGTCCAAGGCGTCGAGGATGCCCCCCGGTTGGGCTGCCGGCCCATCTCGGCGGTCGAGCTCACGCCCCCACCCGAGAGGGGGCGGTCAGGCGAGCTTTGCAGGGATGCAGGGGGCTGCCCCGTGACTGCTAGTCGAGGCGTCCGTCCGTATCGAATCGCTGGCAGGGGGAGGACGAATGGGGGCGTAAGGGCTCCTCGGAACCAGCTGAAGGATGGCTTCGTTGTCCCGCTCGCCAGGGGAAAGCTGACGTGTGGGCGCAGTGGAACTTCCCAGTGCCGTCTGGAGGGTGGCTTCACTGTCGGGCAGGCCGTCGGGTTGGCCGTCGGGCTGGCCGAGCAGCTGGCCGTGGGATTGGGCGTCGGGCGAGGCCTCTATAGAGTGTTGGGTAGGGCGCCAGGTTGGGCGCCGGGAGCGGTGTCCCCGTCCTCCTGCGACTCGCGACTATCTTCGCGCTCTCCCCAGTGGAGGCGACTGACCGTCGCAGAATCGATCTGGATCCGACGCGGCTGGGCGTCCCCAGGGGTCGCGTCGCCAGCGGGTCGCGGTGGGCGGTCGGCAAGGCCCTCTCTGTCTCCTCCCTGCCCCTTCTCCTGCGGCTCGCGAAACATTTCGCAATGTTTTCGCGGTGTAGGTGACTAACCATCGCAGAATCCCTTGGAATCCGAGGCGGCTGGGTGTTCCCAGGGGTCGTGCTGCCAGTGATTTGTGTTGGACGGTCAGCGAGGTTCTCTCTGTCTCCCCCCTGCCCCGCACGCTGCGACTCGCGACTAACTTCACACCCTTCCCCGTGGAGGCGACTGACCGCGGCAGTCGGAATCCGACGCGGCTGGGCGCCCCCAGGGGTCGTGTCGCCCGTGGGTTGCGGTGGGCGGTCGGCAAGGCCCTCTCTGTCTTCTCCCTGCCCCTTCTCCTGCGGCTCGCGAAACATTTCGCAATTTTCCCGGTGTAGGTGACCAACCATCGCAGAATCCCTTGGAATCCGAGGCGGCTGGGTGTTCCCAGGGGTCGTGTTGCCAGCGGGTTGTGTTGGACGATCGGCAAAGTCCTCTTTATCTTCTCCCTGCCCCGCACCCTGCGACTCGCGACTATCATCGCATTCTTCCCAGTGGCGGCGACTGACCGTCGCAGAGTCCGTTGGAATCCGAGGCGGTTGGGTGTGCCAAGAGGTCGCGATGCCAGTGGTCGGCGAGATCCTCCCCGACTTCTTCCTGCTCCTCCTCCTCCTCCTCATGCGATTCGCGACTATATTCGCGCTCTTCCCGGCGGAGGCGACTCATTTCGCAATCTCCCCGGCGGAGGCGACTCACCGCCGCATCTCGAGGGATCATGGGCAGGGAGGGAAGGGGAAAGTCAGTCTCAGGGGAAGCGCCCTGCGTAGGCGCGGCGCCAGCCCACCAGTCGGTGCGCTGGTCTGCGTCGCGGTCATGCCGCCGGGCAGATCTGTTGGACAGCCGCGCAAGCCAGGCGGTTCCAGGGGAGCGTCGACAGGAGTGCGGCCGTCGGGCTGGCAGTCGGGCTGGCCGCGGGGCTGGCCGTCGGGCTGGCCGTCGGGCCGGCAGTGTGGCTGGCAGTCGGGCTGACCGTGGGGCTGACCGCCGGGCAGGCCGCGGGACTGGCCGTCGGGCTTGCCGCGGGGCTGGCCGTAAAGCGGGCAGTCAGGCTGGCCGAGGGGCTGGCCGTCGGGCTAACCGTGGGGCTGAAAACTAGACTGACCGTGAAATAAGCCGTGGGGCTGGCCGTGGGGCTGGCAATCGGGCTGGCCGTAGGGCTGGCAGCCCCAGGCCACCGCAGCGGCGGCGGCGGCCGCCGCGCGGGAGTGGGCGGCCGCCGCGGCCCACAGGCCTGCGGCAGCCGCCGCGGCGGCGGCCTCGGCGGCAGCGCCCGCGGCGCCAGTAGCGCACCAGGCGCTGGCAGCGTGCGCGGCGGCGCCCGCGCGGTCCCTGGCGCACGCGGCGCCGGCGGCGCCAGCGGCGCCCGCGGCGGCCGCAGCGCGCGCCGCGCCAGCGGCAGCAGCAGCGGCGCCAGCAACAACAGAGGCGACCGCGGCCGCCGCAGCGCCGGCGGCGACGGCGGCGCCGGCGCCGGCCGCGGCACCGGCGGCACCGGCGGCGACCGCGGCGCCAGCGGCCGCGGCCGCGGCCACGGCGCTCGCGTCGCCCGCGGCGCCGGCGGCCGGGGCGGCCCGCGCGTCGGCGTCCGCGGCAGCGGCCACGGCGGAGGCCGCGGCGGGCCCGCGCCGAGGCCCGCGGCAGACCGCGCGCGGCCGCGGCGCTGGCAGCGGAGGTGCCGGCGGCGCGAACGGCGGCCGCGGCCCTCTGCCGGCGGCGCCGAGCGGCCAGCGTCTCCATCGCGCGCGGGCCCGAGCGCGCGCCGACCTGAGTCAGGGGCGGGCTCGAGCCGCCATGGCTTGCCCGCTTCGTTTGACTATCTGTGTGTATGTTGCTCCGGTTCCCCATCACCTCTCATGGGCAAAATTTTGAATGGACTGGTGGGGATACGCGATGCGAGAATAATTCCTTAGAACACCGAACCTCCCTCCCCGCACCCACTGGTGAGCTCCAATGGCGGGTCGGCAACAAACGACTCGGATAACTGAATCTGCACAAAATCTAGGCGATGTGACCGTGACCCTATCAATCATGGCCCACTCAAAAATTCCATGGAAGAATGTGTGAACTACATTTCTCGTATTCTGCATGCTCCCTGATCGGAATGCTCTCTACAACAACGGCGACTGTCTATACAAAGGCGCCCCACTCCAAGGCGCGACCCCGATGCCGACAGGAAGCCCACCAGGCGAAGGGGGAGCGCAGTGCGTAGTCCCTGCTGGGATCGGCCCATGATCCCCGTCGGTGGCCACCACACGCTGGAGGAGCTCGTGGGCACATGCGGGCACTGATGGCATGGGGCATCCCCTGTGTTGTGCTTCTACAGGTCTCGCATCGCAGACACGCGTACCACATGTAGCCAACCTCGATCTGGTGTGTTCGGGGCCTGCTATCGGGGTACATGGGTGCCGCCGTAGAATCACTAGACATATGTTGCCCCCTATCGTGCTTAAGGACCACATCCCAGAAATAAGTTCGAGCACCCGGAAAAGTGTCCCAAAGAGCGTCGAAACAGTATCGGAAGAGTGCCTCCCAGGGCCCGACGCGTGAAAACCCTCGAGCTTCGGTACTTCTTTGGGGCGCTCGAAATTCTGTCTGGCTATGAAGGCTAAAGTGGGTTGAAGCATCAGAACACTAGACATGGCCTGTGCGCAACACGTGCCGGAGGCTCTCCACCCTGGGTGTGCCATCGTTGGGGCAGGTTGGGCGAAGGTGCGCGACAGATCCCTACACTCTCCTGGAGCCTCCTCCCGTCGTCCCTACTCTGTCCTCGCTGTGATCTGCAAATCCTCCCTCCGCTGCAGGTGTCAAGGTCAAGCAGCGATGATCCAAACACTGTGTGAAGGCAGCGGCTGTGGCCAGGAAGCACCTGGCTCATCAGGACACGCAACAGCCGGTGCAAGGAGTCGATGAAGAGGCCGTTGCACTCCAACACAAGCTCGGGTTCTGAATCGTCCGACACGTCACTCGCTGGAGGACGATTTGCTTCAAGTGCGGGAACACGGAAACGCGCAATGTTAACTTGGGCGGATCATCTCTTGCAGGCGCTTTGAATGATGACCTGGCCTGGCGCAATACTGCCTGCGCAACATCAAATGGTGCTGGGCACAATCCTGCCGCGTAATTGAGTCGCATTGAGGTGACACGGAGGCTGTTCGTGACGCTGCTCTGAGATCTGATGGATGATTCTATTCCATGTGCGATGCGTTGCTGAGAATCCCCCTCCCATCCTGACAAACAATTTCGGGATGGGGCGTTTCCCTGAGCTTGAGGCCTGCTCACCCAACTCTAAGCCTCGTAGCAGACAAACGCAAACAACATGCACAGTGTACCGCAACCATGCTACTCTGATCGTAATGCCTCCGTATAGCAGCCGCCAGCTGGATGAATACCAACGTCATATGAAGAATCTCGGCAAAACCTATGCTGCCCCATCCTCTCATCCTCGCAGCCATTTCAGCTCGCTGGGACCGTCCCAGAAAAGGGTGGCAGAGGGGCGGTGGCAAGCACGCGGACGCCGTGCTCGTTCCAAAAAGGGCATCTTGAACGGCACTGAGCCGGTGCGGGCACGGGAGTATCCACAGGGACGGTGCCTGGGCAGGGGCTCGTGGGACAATCCAGGGCGCCTGGGGTCTTGGACACCTGTGGCAAGCGAGACCTGCTCACGAAAAGTCCCTCGGCGCCAAGAGAGCGCACGCAACCGCCGAGAAGAGCAGAGGCTTGGGGCAGATCACGGGCTGGGGAAGGGGGAGGGGAGGAGGGGGTTCTAGAAGGTGTTCGAGGCTGGGGAGGGGGAGGGAGGAGGGAGGAGGGGGGAGGGGCTGGGAGGGGGAGGGAGGAGGGAGGAGGGGCGGGGGACGGGGAGGAGGGGGGAGGAGAAACGCAGGAGTGAGGTCAGAGAGGGTTCCAGAAGGTGTTCGAGGGCTATCCAACGGGGGGTAACTCAACCTCCATCGGCACTGCGGGTCGGGTGCCCCTCGACTCTACGGGGAAACTGGAAACGCCTACGGCTGAAGTGTTTGCAGAACGTGCGGAGGTCTTGCGAGGGATAAACGCGCGGCCACGTATGTATTCGCGTCAAGTGTGCCCGGTTTCCTGCTAGCAGATAGGCGCCGTAAGAAAACCCATCGGCAACAAAAGTGCACCATGAGACATAAAACCTTCTGTCGCCAGAATGGGGTGCACTCGCCGTCCAACTTTGATGGCGTTCCATATTCCTATCCCTCAATCGGCGACGTCCTTCACCTTCTCCTCCTCCTTCTCCTCCCCATACTGCCCCGTCCTGCCTTCTGCTGTTGGCCCACTTCCCTATCTCTGGAAACCACTGCTGGTGCCCCAAACACGCCCAAACTGCTGGTCTTGCAAAGGCGGGTTGACTCGATTCCTGCGGAGCCGAAGGCCACGCCCAGCTGGGCCGCACGTCTAACCTGGCTCCCAGGCCACACGATTTCAACAGAGGAAGCTCTGGCACAACGAAGTCGAGCATAGAAGTACGGTGTGGTGAGGATGTGATCGAGCGAACGTTCAGAATGCGGCAGCGAACGGCGCTCATCCTTCACCACTGCTTGAGGCTGTGGCACAGTGCGTTCCGCACGCAGTATCAATCATTCAAGCAGACAGTGCGCGTGACACAAGGCGTTTTCCACTGCTGTGGCACAGTGTCGCTCCCATGCTTTGACACAATGCGCTTCCCATGCAAGCATATCATTGAAATACATCCTACTGAATTCCACCTCTGTTTCGCGACGCGCTGTCTCAATACGACTGCATGCATGCGCTTGGGAAGCCCATTTGCATGCGGCGTCGCATCCAATGTTTAACGTGTGACCATCTGCGCTTAATGAGAAGGCAACCCCGGAAATCAAGATAACATATCCTCAGCCGTCCACCATCCGTTCCAAACCTGTTCGGGCCGCTTGCTGGACTGAAGATGTTGCGTTTTGAGCAACGATGCGCTACGGACGATCTGCTTCGATCATACTCTCAGGGCGTGTCCTTAATATCCGAATGCCCCTCTGGGAACCTCAGCCTACAGCTGTGGGGCTCACGGGGCCAAGTCGTAACATTCGGAAACTAAGCAACACATGATATCATTACAACAGAGAGTAGCCAAGTCTTTGGATAGGTTGAAAGCTAATGATATGGATACTGAGTTGTGAGATCGATGATGTAACCGATCGTGAGGACGATTGTAAGGTCTATCGTGAGACCGAGAGTGAAGTCGATCCAATGTGATCGATAGTGAGATCGATCGTGAGATCGCGCTTGCGATCTATAGTAAGATCGACAGTAAAATCGATGCTGAAATCGATACTGGTATCGATAGAGAGGTGGGTAATGAGATCTGTGGTGAAACCGATCGATCAAAAGATCGACCCAGAACCAGGGACCCCGGGAATCCCGCCGCCCACCGAGATCGGCCTGGAACCAGAAGCCCGGGAACCCGGAACCGGCAACCCAGGAACCCGGCCGCCCACCGAAATCGGCCCGGCACTTTCGCCAAATCTTTCAATATCCGCTAGGATCCGTTCAGTGCAAGCAGTGACTGGGGAATAGTCAATGCAACGCGCTGCCTGGTTTAGGCTGGTTCCGGAAACATCAGCGAGCCCACGTCCAGCAGCTCTGCGACCCGCGACCCTCGCCCGCGACGACGCGGCTTCCCTTGATGTGCTCCTGCCAGCACAGGCAGCGCACGTCGACGCGTCGAACCGCGCCGAGACCCTGGTCGCCCCAAACCCCGCCGGCAAGCGCGCGCCCATCTGCGCTCCGCCTCGCGCTCGAGCCTTCGGGCCTTCGGTCCTGGGACCGGGCCACCTCCCGAGCCGCCCCGTCGAGTGCACCTGCCGGGCCATCCCCGGCCATCCGCCCCCCGACGCACCCGGCCGCGCCCGGGGCCCCGAGCGCCACGTGCGGGCGCCGCGGGCCCGCCCCTCTCTGCCGGGGGCGCGCGGGGCGCGCCGCCGAGGCCCCAGAAAGGCCCAGCTCGGGGGCCCCGCGGCAGCCTCGGCTCGTATCCCGCTTCGCCTCGGCTCCTCGCCCAGGGCACCTGGGCGCGCGACCTCCCGCGTCGCCCCCCGGGAGCTCGCCGCCTCGGCGTGGGGCCCTCGGCGCGGGCCGCCCTCGGGCGGGGGCAGCCGACGGTGCCGAGAGCGCGGCTCCCGGGACCGCTCCCGGGGGGGCGTTCTGACCGTAGGTTCCGGGGCGAATCCAGCGGTGGCGACGAGGGCCTCCGAGGAGGCCCAAAAAGGGGCAAACGAGGCAAGGGCACCAGCATCGGCCGGCGGCTCGCAAAGGGGGGTAGGCTGCTTCTCAGAAGGCGCCAGCCTTACATGTATAGACAAGACACGCGCCCTCTAAGAGGCAAGGGTGCTTCTGAGAAGCCGCCCCCCCTCCCCCCCCCCCCGCCCCCTCCTCTGCGCGTGGCCGAATCGGTACCTTTTCCTGCTTTGACCAGGCGGCCCCTGGGGCCGTCGGCTGCAGCCGCGGACGTTGCGCCTCGGCGCGCGGCCTGCGCTCGGTGGGCGGGCCGGGGGAAGCCCGCCGCAACCGCCGTCGCGGCGCGGGCGGGGGCGGAGCTGGCCCAGATCCCCCGCAGAGGCTGACCCAGCCGCCCGGAAGATTTTTGGGGGGGCGTCAAGGTGGTGCACACGTCGGTCGGAAGAGGTAGGCAAAAGCATGCAGTAGGAAGAGGCGGATGAAGCAGAGTGGGCTCGGGCCCTCCCAGAGAACAGCAAGACACGGCAAGCGCATGCACATTCTGGAAGTAGGAGGGCACCTGAAGTAGATTGGGATCTGGGAGCCCCGCAGCACCTACTTTCAACAGCCAGCGTGTTGCAAGGAAAATCGCCGTGAGCGGCCCCTGAAAAAAGGAAACGTGAGCATCCAGCTGGAGTCGCTTCCTGACCTCACCCCAGCATAGCCCCTCCTCTACAAACCCCGAATTGCACCTTGATGTCGGCCCCGATGCTCGCCTCCCCCGCGCCCGCGCCCTTCGGCGGCCGGCAGATCCTCTGGCCCATGGCGAGGGCCCTCGCGACGGCCGTCGCCGAGGTTACCCGCGCCCTCGTGCGGTAGCTGAGACAGGTACCCGACCGCCGCGCTCCTCAGTGGCGACACTCTCCCCGGACGGATCGAGAGGGCGCCATGTGGCGCGCGCGCCGAACTCAGCCCAAGTCCCCGCCGAGCGACGCTGCTCTGGGGCGAGCACGTCGCTGCCTCTCCTATGGTAGTTGACATGCAGCCCATCGCGCGAGTCCGCCTGAGACGCAGGATCTGCGTGTCACTGGCTTTTCGTACGTCGACGGGCCCGCTTGTGATCGGCTGTGATTGTGATCGGCCGACCTCATGATTCGGAGAAGCTGATCACGTGATCGCCGATCACGTGATCACCCGATCGCAGTGATCAGCGACCCCGATCACGTGACCTGCAAACGCTGAGCGTGCGACGCAGGATCCACTACACATCGCATGTAGGTGGGCGACGCTCTACCGCAAATGCGACTCCAGCGCGCGGCGGCTGGGCCGCGCGGCCTGCGCCATGCCGCTGCTCTTGCGCTCCCCGGGCAGGGGCGCCCCCAGGGCCAGCTCGATGCCTGGGCCATCGCTGCAGCGGCGGTCTTCCGAGCGAGAAGCGCCGCATCGCGACCACTTCGGCAGCTCCGCCGCCGATCGCCAAGGTGTCGAAGGCTGCCCGGGGATCTCAGACCTTCAGCGAGGGGGGCGGAGTTCCCAAATAGCAGCCGCTGGCCCCTTCTGCCTTGCCAGAGAGCGTCCAGACATCGCCTCGTCCAGGACTCGATCGCCCATGAGCGCGTTGACGATCGCTGCAGCAGGCTCTGGTGGGCCACTGGCTTCGCCCTGTTGCAGGCAGCGCTGGCCCAGCCCTGCCGCGGCGCACCTCGCACCTCGCACCAGCTCCGATGCGCCTCGGGACCGGCGGCTTCGCGGTGATCCGATTCGGCGGCTGTTGGGCAAGGTCGCTGCCGTCGCGCGCGTGCAGGCTTCGCCTCTGCAAGCGAACCGTCGCGGCAGGCACCTGCACCTGACGCACATGAATCCGGCAGGCACCTGCACCTGCACCTGATACCGCGAGGGCATTCGATAAAGGGGCGCCGATTGAGGCTTAGTCATGGGTATCACCGACGCCCTCTACGCGTTTTTAAACACACTTTTACACGCCCCCTTTAAACGTTCAGATAGCCGCCTCAACTGTACTTTAGGAGTAGGGCTAGCTCGTTCTCTCTCGTGCTTGCCCCTCCGCTCCTTGCGCTAAGTTTCGGCTCGAGAAGCGGGTTTCGCGGGCGAGGCCCGCGCTCGAGCCATCAGAGAGGGGTAGCTTCCAGCCCCTGCTCGCCCCGAGCCCGACAGGCTCGGGCGCCGCCACGACGCCGGCCATCGGGCGTCCCAGCTGGCTGCTGGTGGCGGCGCTCGCCCTCTGCGAGCTCGACGGGCTGCTGGAGTTCGTCGGCGGCCGCCAGGAGAAGGCCGAGGAGGTCCTGGTCGAGCCGCTCGACCCCGCGGGCGGCGCCGGGTGGACAGGCTCGCCGGCAGGGTTCATGGCGCCCTGGAGCAGGTGGAACCGCGTCTACGTCCAGACGCAGGGGAGGAACACGGGCGTGGTGATGCTGCTCGTGAGCCGCGGCGGCCCGGGGACCTCGCTGGTGTGGACCGCGATCGATCCCGCGAAGCGCGTGCAGATCATAAACCTTCGGGACAAGGCGCGGATGCTGCCGCGCCCGAAGAAGGGGGTGACCTGGACCGAGCATCCAGGGCTGACCGAGAAGGAGAGGGAGCAGGCCATCATAGCTGCGGAGCGGCTCATCGTGCGCCACGAGCTGGGTCAGGCTGGCGCCGAGAGCGCCAAAGCGAACACGACGAAGGGGAAGAAGGCGAGCTCGAAGACCAAGGTGGCGTCCTGGTTCGGAAAGGGGCTCGTGTCGACCGTGGTGACGGCCTGGGCCCACAAGACTTGGGGCGGTACGGCGGCGGCGTTTTTCGTGGGCTGGAGGTTGTGGCGGTGGCTGCACCTCGGGTCCTTCTTCGCCGCGGGGTACCACACCATCTCCGCGGGGATGCAGGCGATCGAGGACCTGGACAACTTCCGTGAGTTCGTTGGCGAGCTGTACGAGTCAGGCGACCTTGAGCTTTGCGCGGCGTATCTGGGCTGCCTCCTCATCGGGATCTACGCGGTCTGGACCTACGGATGCTCCTGCAGAAAGGAGGGCGACTCGGACAGCGACTCAGGCTCGGACTCGGACAGCGGGTCAGTGCACGCTGGCGAGGACGTGAGCGACGTGAGTGGTGACGAGCGTGACGCCAAGACCCTGTTCGCGGAGTTGGCTCGTGGGCAATCAGACTTGGCCGACGCGGTGGGCATGCTGAAGTCGAGGCTGGACGTCGGTGGCGGCGCGGGGGCGGGCCCGGCCTG